ATATATATATATATATATATATATATATAGTGTATATATATAGTGTATATATAGTATATATAGTATATATATATTTATATATATATATACACACATTAAAACGACAATTCAGATTTTCCAAAATGTAAACGTACCTTAGAATGGCTTAAACTATGGTCTAGCACTGAGGAACCGGCCATGATCTCCTGTTTAGATAGTGTTATAACTTCGCCACCTGTGGAAAATGCTACATCAGCATACGAGCTGTCAATTGAATCAACAGCACGTAAATGGCGACTTGTATCACACTGACTACGCCCTCTGGACGAGCCCGTTAATAAGTACTTGATCTGAATACAAAAATATAAAATATTAATGCTCGCCTACCATTTGCAGTGTTCTAGTCTTAAATCTTTATGCTTCGCGTGACAATCAAATTTATCAACTTTTGCTCTATATGCATATGAATATGTGTATTAAAGTTAATTGGAACAAAATCGAACTTTGTAAATTTTCTTATTATCAATATCATTATTTTTTTAAATACATTATATGCAACATTATTCAGCCTTAAGTGTATGAATTGCAACATTTTGAGTCAAAATAATATATGGTTGTAACAAATGCTTTTTTTATTCATTCTCTATATTATTGATGATCAAGATGTACCAATATCGATCAGTTGGCTAGTTTGCTACTTTTACTTTAGTGTCGTGGGCCCCATTCAGGCTACCCCTTCCTCACGTTGAGATCGTTACCCTAAGTGGTCTAACCTTAACGTTCTTGTACTTGGCTAACGCAACGACCGATTTCTTTAAGTAGGCGTCTTTGGCTGACGCGTCGGTGAAAACAAAACACGTTGAGTGGTGGTCTGTATGCTCAATTGCTAGACGCAATGCATGGAACGATTTTTCCCGACAATCTCCTCCATCTGTAGTGTTGATTGATGCTAATTTTGCAATAAATATATCAGGATTACTGGTAACAAATGCTGGACCATAGTCTAGAAAAGAGACATGGGACAATCTTTCTTTCTTACACATTTCTTAAACTCTTAATATTTTAATAATAGAACTTGTGGTAGACATTATGAACTACGTTTACGCACTTTACTTGTTATTAAAATATGTGGGTTGAATCATATTTGTCTCTTACACGTTAATGAGAACTTAAACAGAGCGCACGCACTTTGTTGTCGCTCAACCCACCCATGTTGATAATCAAGATGCCCTTGATGCTTTACAAATCTTGGTCGTCGATCACACTCACTTAATACTCAACTTACTGAGGTAATGTTGTTGATCATGCGCATTTGATACGTTGTTATACCAATGCATTTAGAAACAATTACCTGTTTACACAGGGCAATTGATTACTAAATTGACTCGCTAAGTGATCATGAAATAATTGGAGCTTTCTTTTTGGATATCTCAAAATGTTTTGATGTATATTATCTTCTGTTGTTGGAAAAATATGGACTAAAAAATAAACGATGAAATCAAATGGTTTAAAAACTACCTCAGTAAAAGAAATCAAATAGTTAAATATGGAGATAAACTACAAAAAAAAGAGAATATTGAAATTGGAATACCCCAAGGTAGTGGTCTTGGTCATGTCCTGACTTCTTAATACAGTATTCATTAAGGACATATCACAATCTGTAGCAAATGGTTCATGTTGTATATATGAGGACGATGTTGTTGTTTACGCTTCAGGAAAAACTATTCCTGAAATAAATGATAACCTTCAACATATAATAGATAATATACAAGAATGGTATGCAAGAAACATGCTTATAAAAGAAAAAGACGCGGTTCTGCCCATTAATTTTAATATCCATTTTGGAGATCAGTCTATTGAAAATGTCCAACACATAAGATAAGTTGGACTAGAAATAGATGCAATTCTTGCGTTGCAACACCACACTAAATACGTAACACATTCAGTTAGCTTTAAATTAAACTTAAAAAATACACTTTTAACTAAAATATGTTAAACTAGAGGGCACTTGGAGACTGCATACCTCCGCCCACATCATAGTTTTCCTCAGTATAACTTTCCCCCGCATATTGTCCCCATAAAAGAATAATAGTGAAAAAAACAATTAAACTGCTTGGGATTTAAACCCGGGGCTGGTAGTATGGAAAACACTCTTGTAACAACTACATTCAACTGGTTTCACATATATCACTTTTAAATTAATGGTCATATGTTTGTTTACACTTTTCCAGCAAGCCCATATAAGCACACACACACGTCTATTACGGCAAACAGTTATACAAGTTTTTTTCGATCATTGTCTTCTTCTTCCATTCTAGTACAGACCACCTGTCGGTGTATTTTCGTACTGTGGTGGTGTGCGAAGTAGGTAAAGTTTTAGAATCCAAGACTCATTTTATATTATTTATTATTTTTTTTTTCTTTAAAATTAAAACATCAACCCGTTAATTGCTAAGCTCCTCTGGGAAGGGGCGCGACTCCCATTTCACCTTATGGTGGAGTACCCATTTCACTGTTCTGTTTTAGTTACGGAGCTGCAGGTTTCCTTGACCTTTGACCCTGATGATTTTTTGATAAAAACATGGGCTGTAGGCTGTTCACAACAAATATACTGACAGACAAATAATAACTAAATAAAAAACAGGCAAAAACAAAACCTCCTGAAATTATACTTTAACTATAATACAGCCATGTATGGATTATGGCATTTCAGTCTGGGGAAATACCAGCCAAAAAAATAAAATAATAATAAACAGACTGCAAAAGAAAGCAGCACGCATACTTACAATAATAAAGTTAATTGTCACACGATACAGGGAGAGGAAATAATCGAAAATTTTGTCATTTAAATTATTTGAAAAACGATGGGATTATCGTATTTCATGTTTAATGTTTAAATGTTTTAACAGCACTGTGCATCCTAAAACTTGTATTTGATTAACATGGGAATAACACAAGAAATGCACATTCACTTAACATTGTAACTCCAAAAGTAAGTTTTAATATAACCAAAACTTCACATAGATATGCTGGTGCAAATGTATAGAATACACTGCCGCAGATATTAAAAGGATCGACCAGTTGTTTAAGAATATAATTTATAATACAATCCAAATTAAGCTACCGCTTTTAAAGTATTCTTAATTTTACAACTTTTATTCTTGTGTATATGGTATGACTAACCTGTTCATATTTTTACCAATCTTTTTACTACTGGATTTTAATATTATTTTTATATGTGATTAAGATGTGAATCATTATTGTATTATCTTACCTTGTGATCTTTGTCGGTATATTTTAACAAAATTCAAAGTATTCTATGTTGTAGATTAAGCATTTATCATTTTTGAAATTAAGTATCTTCTCAATTGTATTAATTTACTGGACCATTTTAAAAACAAGACTGTTACATCTTGT